TTTTTATTTGAATATTGTTGAGAAGTAAAAGTAAAGAAACAAGTTATAAAAAAGAAGACACTGCTTCTAACTGCAAACCTGTTGTAAATTTTCTTTGCTTTTTCTACAGACAGTTATCTACAGCAATACTGTCAGCTTTTGAACTTTAGCTTCATAACTGATAATAATTCTATTTGGTTGCACGATAAAGCATTGATTTACGACATTAGTGAACGAATTCTATTCAATGAACATCAGCCAACAGTTACGCTATCGCTGGCTTAAAAATTGCTAATGGCAGTCGAAACTGATAATGGTTTATTCATTCCTTGATGTAGCGTTGTTTTGTAGCTTATTACCCAGGATTAAGAACTAGGATTGTTTACTTTGACAAGCCAGTCTAACCGTATAAGCTAGAATGTTTCTGGCAGATTTGAATATTTATATGATTTTCACCATGACTACGCTTCATGTTCTTTTCAACCCTTACTTTTTACAGTTGTGCACACCTGCAATTTCTGTTGTTTATAGTTTGTATGAAATTGCAAGATTCTTTTTATCCTGCTAATGTATTTATTAGATCTTCAAAAGCACAACTACAGAATGAAAAACTAAGAACTTTTTTAAATTTACTACCGCTTTTTATCATATAAGCTGAAGAAGGATTGTACTAATTGCTTTGCAACAAATGTTCAGCAAAACAGGCATACGTGGCAAGTAAATGTGGAATTTACAGAATAAGAAAGCTCGTTTTTTCAGCTTCACGAAATGTTAAGAGAAGTCAAAGATTTAAATGATCAGAATGTTTTTAAGTTCAAGTTCAGTGAGCAGACAGGGGGTGTTTCAATGTATTGAAGGGCACATATCACGTGAATGGTTGCAACGAAAATTAGCAGCAGCGTCTCCAACAGAACTTCATGGAATAGCAGGAAGCTATTGTTATAAGAAAGCTGGCAAGCAGCGATTTATAAGTTGAAAGTGTAGAGTCACCTCTCTGTTCTATCACATTAAGCAGCAAAGTATTGAGCAATCATGAATCGTCTTTTCAAATTCCTTTCTTATTCAAAATTTCTGTCATATTTTGCGTTATTTGAAGATTTTTAAAGAATTTAATTAAAGGCTGTACTTATAGCACTGTTTAAATTATCTATTAGAGTAGAGATCAAGACAGGAATGAAGATTCTTTAGCATTAAGCACTATTCTAGACGTTTGAAGTTTGAAGTGTTGAGAAAAAATATTTGCCAAAGATGCCAGTAGATGATGTAAAGAAGTAGGAAAGTCACAGCCCAAGAGTTTTCCATGAGCTTACATTTTTTCTTCAAATGAATCTGTAGGCCACACAACAGAACTGCTTTATAATGTCGTCTGCGAAAAGAATTAAGAGCTTTTAGCAGAACAAAGTCTTCTTTTTCAAATTTATCAAAATTCACTGACGGAAAACTATTTTTAAAAAAAAAAAAGAATATGAATTTTAGTTCTAATTTGAAAATATAAATTTAATTTTCTCAGTGACAGAAAGTCTTGCACGGAGAATAAACAGCATGAAGGCTTTTGCCGACATTATAAAAAAACAATTTGAAACTGTGTTCCAATACAAAAAAGCTGCTGGTCAAATGAAAAATGGAAACTTGTTAGATTGAATTTTGATATGTGCTTTGAATTTCATAATACAGAAGCATATTTATATGAATAGTCACCACACACGTGTATACCCGTTATAAACTTTTCATCCAAAGGAAATAACTAATTGTTAAAAATTGCTTTAAAAGCGTAACATGTAAGGTTGTTCCTACGAACTTGGCAAAAACTTTCTGTGTATGCGGAATACGAAAACTCGCCGGTAGCACACATTACAGAAAATATGCCGTGAAGTTGATCTTCAACTGCTTTTTTAATTTTTCGTTGAGACGTCAATGCATCTTCGGTCATATTCTAAAAAGTGGTGAAAAAAAATAAAAGCGGTAGCTCGCTTGCACGACATACATGTATAACTTAAAAAATATACCTCTTCCATTATATGCTTCAATTCCAGATTGTTGCAGACCGGATCTTCGGCAACATCTTTAACCAAGAAAAGAAGTAAATCATTCTTGGAAACATCACGTCTTCGACGGCTTCCAGAAGTACAGTGAACTTTGCATGTAGCACAGCAAGTATTTTCTGATGGCGGCGGTGGTGGAGGAGGTGGTGGTGGAGGAGGTGGTGGAGGTGGGGGTGGTGGCGGTGGAGGTGGGGGTGGCGGAGGTGGCTATAATATAAAATATCTTTAACCAGCTTCTCTCTGAGTTTCATTAGAATTATATTAGTTGGTGCAGTAGAACTACAAGAAGCGTGTCTTAGCAATAGAATTTTTTTCATGAACTTTTGGAAATTTTACTGTTTGGTAAAAATCTTACAATCGAAATTTCATAAAATTTTCTGGTTACTATGGTTAAAATAAACTTACTGGGCACATACATGGAGGTGGTGGAGGTGGTGGCTATAACAAAATATTTTTTAAAGCAATACTTCTTAGACTTCGAAAAAATTGATTTTGTGTGATTATAAGACTCATGTGACCACGATAAAATTTCAACTGTTAATTTACAAATTTTTTCTGGTTTGAATCATTGGAGATAAACTTACTGGACAAATACATGGTGGAGGTGGTGGAGGTGGTGGAGGTGGGGGAGGTGGTGGCTATAATAAAAACTGTTTTCAAACGACAC